TCAACATCCCCCCCCACCCCCCCAAGCCCGCCCCCCCCCAAGAATCAAGTCCAAAATCAAGAGCCCGAGTTTACAAACTCGACAAGTCGATTTTGAGGCCTGTTATGATGATCGGACATGACGAAAGTGCTGTAAATACCGAGTAAAATGGATGTTGTCTTAACATGGCTAAGAGCAAGTGTAGTTGGTAGGGGGGGGGTGGCTAGTAGTAGTAGTAGTAGTAGTAGTTGTTGTTGTTGTTGTTGTCGTAGTAGTAAGTAGTAGTTGTAGTAGTAGTAAATTGAAGCAGTCTTTCGGACGGAACTGCGAAAGGCATCTTCGTCAAACTTCAACTTTCTGCGCGCATGCAGACTTGCTGCTTGGTGTGCTGCGGTGATACTGCTGACAATGTTGGTATGCAAAATTGAAGTTGGTTCAACTGCTACCAGAGGCCGAAGCACAGAGTTTGACTTCCCATTTCCTATTCGGGCCATGGTCGAACTTCTCGCATTCGCCGTCGGAGCCGTGGGCTTCGCTCTTCCTAGGATCAGGAACAGGAGAGCACAAACTACCGGTAACTACCGAATTCCAAACACAAGAACCCCAAGGGAGGGAACGAAAAGGGCAAACAGCCGAGCTTGTGTGTACATCCACGCAAACGTGCAACATGTGTAGCGAATACAAACACCCATGCAAGTACAGTCAAGTGACTCCACAAGATGTTGTCCATAAGCTTGGGCACATGGACACACTACTGCGGTGTGAACTGGAAGACACACATCCGCGTGTTCGGATGCTGTATTGCATTGCACATTCCTATATTACACCCGACTGCCAAGACGAACCTTTCTGATTCTTGGTCACTCAGGGAGTCAAGTTTTTCGACGTTAAGTCGAGTGCATGTGGTGGAGCTGATGAGGTCTTGACCTTACAGAGCCTCACAGTTTCCCAATTGAGGCGGCAAGTCCTTGACCGAGGTGCCAGAATTGGCTGAGGGAGAGGCGGCTCTAAAGGAGGCGAGGATCTTTGTCCATGCGCAGTTGTGTACATGTCCACGACTTGAGGGGCCCACTCGTTTGCTTGCTTCCGCGTCCGACCTTGTGCTACGGCAACGTCCTGTTATTTCCTTTTGCCGGCTATGTAGCGATCACTTGGCATCGAGGATGCCAAAAAAGAAGTGACATCTCGGCATGCAAAGCATTCGCGTGGCTTCCCGGGCTGCTTTCCGACGGGGCTGGCCGCGCACCGGTTTCATTTGTCATTCGTCAATGATCAAGTTTTCCCTTTCTAGCGCAGCTCGTGACAAAAAACTGTCATTGAGGGGTTTGGAGCACTAGTCAGCAGCCCACTGCTGCTCGATAGTCCGATTCCCGGTGTCACTAGCCTTGGCTTGGCCCACCTTCCACTCACGGCTTTGTCGCCACCATTGGGGTCGACCACGAGTGGTCCAACTACAACGACGACGACGACGACCACCTACTACTACTACTACTACTACTACTGCTTTTACTACTATGGCAACTTGCGACCGCTGTTCCACAGTGGGCATGCATGCAGGATTTTGGTCCATCTTAGTGTTTCCCGCTGTCTGAAAGGCCTTGCCCTTGGCTGAGGCACTTGACGAGGCAGGGCACGGCCTATCCTCGAGCAGCTTCGCCAGCATGGTTTTTCTAAGTTCCTCTGAGCCGCTCTCAGCAAGCTGGGCAACTTGCTGTGCCAGCGGCCAGTGAGAGGTCGCCTTGGATTTTGTTGCGCCGCTGATTGCGCTTTTCGGGGAAGATTGGACAAGGTGCCGCGAGCTTGCTGTGCACTACAGCATGCAGCGATGGGATGCCATGCGTGTGCATGTGTGCCGATGTGTACGTGCAGGTGTTTTTATAGCCGGAATTGGCAGTGCCGAGTGGCAGTCCCCGCCTCGGAGCACAGCACATCGGGCACAGCACCGGAAGGCATTCTGCGCTTGGAAGGCCTTGACACATTTGGCAGCGAGCATGGCCCAACGGCTAGAGGAGCTGTCGACATCAGAGGCGTGAGCTGCGTAAGCTGCAGTCAGCTTCATGGAGCGCTTTTATTGCTGTACGCGCAGGTATCACCTAATGTTCTTGCAGAACTTCTGGATGGAGCAATGCGAGCTGTGCATGAGGCTCACAATGCGAGTGTTCATCAGAAGTTGTGCACCATGCTTTGACATCGCGCGATCGCCCACAGCCAGCACTCATGCCTGCAGGGTTTGGGAGACCAGAATGTGCGAGTTTATGCCGAGGTCCCTGCCTAAGCTGGAAGCAGCTAGAACAGGGAAGACAGTGTTTGGCAACTGAGGCATGCATGTCAGTCACGGCCATCGTGCCGTCTTTCTGCGGGACAGTTGATGGGCGACTGCTAGTGATCCCCTGAGCTGCTAAAACAGGGGCTGACTGAGTGACCCAGTCGCTGATTTTCCCTTTTCTTGGCAGGTGGCGCATCTGGCGCCCTTGCTTCGTCAGCTTTGTGCCCGCATGGGCGACTCAAAGGAGGCGCAAAGACACGGAAAACCGGAACAGCCTCACTTCCACGAGCTACAGCAACTGACTGCAGCCGGTAGTACCCGTGTTTCGAGGTCGTCCGCACTCAAACGACCCAGGCAGGCATCGAAACCGTCGCTAAGTGTGTCGTCACAGCTGACCACTCAAGTGAGGCAATTTTCCGTCTTCTGAACCCGCCAACGGGGAACATCGTCAGCCCGGAGCCTCCCTCGGCACCTTGCTGTTGAAGTGTACTCGGTGTCCTCTCTCTCCGATTTCACTTCCTGTCAGGTGGCGATTGCAATGCTGATTTTACGGCATCTGATGCCGAGTAAAGAAGAGGTGGGGGCTGAGCAGAGAGAGAGAGAGAGAGAGAGAGAGAGCCATGGTGAAAGTCCAAAGTCCTTTTGAGGGCGACTCGCCCATGGCCTCCGTTGCCAAGGGTGCCACGGGCAAGGCGGCTCTTTCGATGCATGCTTGCGCCATGGCATGTGCGGCCTGTGCTTTGGCTCCAGCCTGGTACCAGGGAGCTGCAACGGGATGGCTTTGCCGCTTGGGAGCCCTGCGCGACTTGTGCAAGGACCTTCAGAACCTGCAGCACGATTTCCCGAGCTTCTGAGGTCTCGGTAGCTGCTATTGACCCTGTGGTACGGACTCCTTGTACCTGATATGAATGAGATGAAGACCCTGATTACTGAGGGGCTGCCTTTGAAACCAATGCAAGAAACTGAATCGAGGAATTGGGCACCCACAATTCATGAGTTTCCCTCCTACACAGTGAATGAACACTGGCATTCTCGCTGTTCTGCTCACTGGCAGGAGCATTCCAAGTCGATCGTGCAGCACGCTGGCAGCACAAGCCCAGGCGAATGGGCCAGGCAGGGCACTGGAGGCCCCATTGGGCGCAGTGGTTGCATTCCATGGTGCCAGGCTCTCCGATGGACTGAAACATTCTGACCCCACGGCTCTGGTCCCAGCAAGCGCGGCCTAGGCAAGTTGGCATGGCTGGCCACAAACTGCAGCAAGGTGAGACATGAGTCCGTCCGCCTGTTTGCCCTGGTGTGCAAGATGTGCGGCCTCAAAATGCAGTTAGGATCTTCCAGAAGAGCTTGCAGTCTGAGCTTGCTTCAGGCACTTAAAATCCTTGGGTGACGAGGAGGCTCAGCGACCTGGGCGGGAGGCAGGAAAGCTTTGAAGGGCTGGCTGCGCAGCCCTGACGCGAAGTGCGACAATGCGTACAGCTGTGTATATGTTGACAGGCTTGGGTCGCAGCCTTGCCGAGGGATGTACCCTCGAAGTCTGTAGCGCAGGCACGCTGATTACGGAGTGTAAATGATGAGGAGACGCGCTGCTGCCAATCCTGCAACTTGCAGGTGCGGCGCTACCTCAAGCTCCCGGAGGAGGCTTCGCCGGCTGTGCTGAATGCTCGTTGAGTTCTGATCCAAGGGCCCGCCGCGCAGCAGCTCAAGTGATTCAAGCGGGATCAACTGGGCTTGTGGAGCAATGGTGCCAGGCGTGCGTGTCCACGGTCCCGACAAGCAGGATGTCGAAGTGATAATTGATGAAACATTTCGTTCCATTCCAGTTCCAGAGAAGCTTGGAGTCACGATCCTTTACAAGATCCAGTCGGGAACGGGCGGTGACGACTCCAATATCCGCTCAAATGCGATTGTGCGTTTCATGGCCGACACTTCTGATGGTTTGGCACCTGAGGAGTGGCAGTACGGAGGAACTCGGGGTCCTGCTCCGCCTGTGGTCTTGGCCCGAAAGGACCAGGTGCCCTTCTCCAGCCACGACTTCGAAATCATTTGTGAATATATCAGCCACTGGATGGAGCAGGCCGGCGAAAGCGACGGCCACTTTACTGAGGTTACGAACCGGATCTTGGAACCCAGCGCCTTCCAGCAGTTCGTTCGGGAGAGCACCGACGATTTTCCGCTGGCTTTCCTGTCGCTGCAATTCCCAAAAGGCAGCATAGTTGAAGCCAGGGGCCTGAGTAAAGCAGAGTTGAACGGTTTGCAGGGGCGGGTGTGCCGCCATAGCAGGGACCGAGTTGGTGTCCATTTTCCCAACCGAGATGTTTGTGCGATTCGACCAGCGAAGCTGCGACTGGTTTACGATGCGCCGCTCGATGAACCGTCGGCAAAGCGGCATATGGGAGAAGCGCAGACCAAAGAAAGAAAGCAAGAGCTGGAAAGGCAGGAGGCGCTTCAGATTTCCAGGCGTTTCGTTGAATGCCTACATGAAGACACATTCCCAGAAATGGGTGACCTGCATCTATTTGGCGTCGGCTGCGACTACAGGGCCAGAGCCACAGAGGTTCTGGCAGTCTGGCAAGGCCTTGTGAAGCACATGCACTTCACAGCAGAAAAGGTCGCCGAAGCGCTTCTAGAAGGTAATTTGCAAGAGTGCTTCATTCAGTGGACGAAGGAGTTAGCAAGCTCAGCCACGCCAAACTCGACCTATGCGAAGAAGCTAATCGAGGCAAACTTCGCAGCCACTGAGTGGGACAAGCTCTGAAGTCTGCGCGCATTTCGAAAAAAGCGTTGTGCTGCAAGCGTGGCAGCGTGGTGAGCAGGGCCCCTACTCGAAGAGTGTCCTGGTGCAGGTTGAGGAAAGCTCAACGTTGAACCGCTCACAGAGAGTTGAAGTGATCACGGCCAATTCCTGGGAGGCCAGGAAAGCTCAGAGATGCTCAGAGCCGGGCTGCGCCTGTGGCTTTAGCTCACTTGAGATGACTTGAGAGGTGCCCTCCGGCTTGGCTTCATGGTCTTCCTGCGACCAAGAGGTGCGTTCCCGCAGCTTCCGATCTCGAAGCTGGGTCTACTTCGCTGATCGCTTGAACTTCAGGTGCTGAATGCTCTGACAGCACCGCAGAAGGGGGAGGAGAAGGCCACGATCCGGTTGTTTCTGTTTCATTCATCATCGCCCCGTGATGCACAGCACCGCGCTACAACCCGTCCCCTAGTGTTGCAATGGTTTCCTTCAATCAGTCTCCAAACTGGCTAAGATAATGTCGCTCTATGACATCATGACCCACTGAAGGTTTCGCAGTTTGAGCAAACTGACAGCAGTGATGCTCAGTGACGGATTCCGAAAGTTTGAGGACGCGTATGTGAGGAAGCCCGACTATAGACAGCAAGCACGGAAAGTGCATCTAAGCGGCAGCATTTGCACGGCCCCCAACGGAATGCAAGCCAAATAAATTGGCGTGCTGTGCCGTTGCGAGGAGGCCCCCAACATCTTCCACCAATAGCCGAGACCAGTATCCTTGAGGTCGCACATGGCAAACAAGTTCCGTCGTCAAGCTTATTGTTCCATGTGGGAGCATGTGCGTTTGTCACCACAACAGCTTGCATGCATTGCCAGTAGGCTGCCATCACCACCGCATATGCGCTTTCAACCGTGTTGTGTGCCTTCAGCCATGCAAAAAGAGATGTTCGAAAGCCTAGCCTTGCACAGTTACGAAAGGGCTTTTCAGCGAGCCAAGGCGGAAGCATGTGAGTAGAGCAGATCATCTCGTGATGAGCACTACAAGGTGACGATCCACATGTCGAGTTTTTGTTCAACATATGGGCAGCGCCGAAGGATATGTGATGCAGTTACGCGACGCCTACAATCAATAAGGGGAAGCCAATCGACGACACGAGCAGACACGAAGACAACGGAAGCTGAAGAAGCACCCGCATTAAGTTCACCGGAGACGATCCGAGTGTCAAACTCCTTTGAGAGATATTCCATGCAAGCACACCATTGACAACATTGCCGATGTCAGCAGGTTTTCAGGAGGAACGCTGAGCAACAGCATCAACAGCTCAGAAAGCATGGAGGCTATTGGTTTGCCGCACCCCGTTCACCGGCTTGGATGTTCCGCCTTCTGAAGTACATGACTTGAACAGTTCTTACAGTCGGTTACCCGTTTCTGGTCTGCTAAATCATAAATTGTCCGGTTTCATAGGTCCATTGTGACGACTAAAGTCTTTTGTAGGTGTCTGCAATTTAGTACATCATTGATCTTCTGTGACCACTAAAGTCCGGATGCCTATTTCTACTAGTATTCGTCTTCGTTGTTGATAAAGTCGTGGGTTTCAATGCAAACCCTGCCATGACCACTTAAAGTCCGGGGAAGTGTGGGCCAGCACATGACCAGCACATGCTGGTCATAGGCGGCCCCGAATGAGATAACCGGAAGGGGGGGGGGTAACCAGGACATGTATGTGAAGAATGCCTAAGTAGGCAGCTTTGACGAGTCCTTGCTCGTGGTGGCCATGATTATTAGGGAGGGGGACGCTGTGGGAAAACACTACGACCCAGAGGTTCCACAGCATCCTCTTCTGCATTGTGAATCAGGAGGAGAACGATCTAGCGGAATCTAGAGATTGAGTCTTCCGTACACTGAGAAACAACCAAAGGTAGCAAAGTTGTGTCACACGCCGCAATGCAATGACAATGGAAAGGCGCAACACAGAAGAGTGTGCATGAACAGAACATGACCTCTGCCACATTGCAATTGTCTCCAGGTTGTCATTGCTGCGCTGAAAGCGTTGGGCAAGGCGGGCGCCTGGGGAGGTGTGCGGCTTTCTTTCATGGCGCTTCGCCGGAGGCCTGCAAAGCTGAGAGAGACAAGACACAGGCAGCCCAGAGCGCGGAGGTGCTGGCCGGTCATGCATGCAGTGAGGGCCGACAGATGCCTGGGCAAGGCATTTGCAGGCATTTGCCGAGCGATACAGCAAGCCCTGGCATTTCCTGTCGGCGCTGACCGTCTGGTTTTCCTTTGTGCCGTGCCGGACTGAGTCCGTCACTTGACAGGCTTCCCGAAGTCCCGAAGTGCCTGAACAAAGAGATATGAGCGGTACACTTTGTGATTGTCTGGGAGGACTCGAGGTGATGTCTTTTCACACATTGCCTTGTTTGCGAGGTGGAGCTTTGCCAGCTTTCTGTGCAGCAGCTTGCTGCGAGTCTGTCCGGTCTTGGCCACCCCTGCGGAGTTGGGGAACGTGCATGCTTTGTGTTGCAGTTGCCACCCAAGCTGCCAGACCTGAACATGGCCTTGGCAAAGATTTTTCCGACGCTGATGGAGCGAACAGCGCTCTCTGGCTTGGCGGGGGACGTCAAGGCCGGTGCCGTATTGTACCTTCAAGACCGGCAGAACTGCACATCGTGCAGGTGGGGGTTGCATCAGACAAGTTGGTGCAGCAGCTTGCCAAGCACCCAAAGGCACGGCGCAACAGCTACGGAACGCAGGCCTCTGAGCCGCAGTGTCAGGTGGGTTGCGAGGCAGTCACGAAGATGGTCGAGAGCTTTGTCCTAGCTGCTTCAGCTGGCCTGTCTTTGCATTCCTCAGTCTCTGCATGTGCGAGGTGATAGCCTGCGTAGCACGTTCAGAGCGACCTGTGCGGCCGCTGGTTCTGCTTCGCCAACCCGGCTAAGCTTCATGGAGTTTCTTCCTAGATTCGAAGATTAGATTACATGCCATGTGATCTCTTTTCCACGGAGCTTGGAGCACGCCAGGCACATTGCTGAGTGACTTCGGCCTACGGCAGGGCTTCTTTGCAGCAGAAGCATTGCGTTGTGTCAACGTCTTGCGGTCAGGCTCTGCGCCCAAAAGGACGTGGTAATGCTGCTGTTCGATGCTGTAGCAGGCCACCTGGAACGACTCGAAGGCCAGGCAGAGCCGCCTTGCATCGGGCGGAGCAGCGGAGTATTGACGAGTTGTGAGGTTCAGTGCGAGGAAGCTGTGTCGAGGCCGTCCTTGGAATGTTCCGTCGGCTTCACGCATCCTCTCTAATCCTGTCGTTGCCTCGATTTTTGCCATCGTCTCAAGAGAACATGACCATGGTCTCAGCCTGACGTGCATGCGGTGGCCCAGGGGAGGCTCGCAACACAGCAGAGTTCTAGAATGAACGAACTGGAGAGCTTTTGAATCTCTGATAACTTCGGGTACCGAAGGCAATGGGTAGGGATCGCCATGGGTGCCTCCCACCAGAGGCGACAAGCAGACTTCACCTCTGTCGGCTCGCAGTGCTCGCAGCAGCAGCAGCCAGCTCCAAGCTTGAACCTCAGCGCCGTGAGTTTGGATACTGGTCGACTTGAGGGTCCCGGCGAAGCCTTCGACAGCTTCGCTACCTGGGAACACCTCGGTTCTTCGCCCCTTGTGCCTTGGGATTCGTGGTGGAAGCTTCGAAGGAGGAGGGTGGAGTCTTTGTTTGAGGCAGCTGCAAGTGGAGATACGGCGAGGATACGTTCTCTTTGTCGACAGCCCGTGGCCGATTTCGACTGCGAGCACGGCGAGAACAGCGAGCCAGAAGAAGCGATTGCGGAAGATGCGGATGTAAACTCAGACAAGGTCCACCCAGACACTCGGGGACTTTATGGGCGTACAAGTCTGCATGTCGCTGCACATGCTGGCCATGCGAGCTGTGTTTCGGCCTTGCTCGAGCTACGAGCCAGCATTGATGCGCAGACAGACGCAGGCTTCACTGCTCTGCATCTCTGCTGCCAGCGTGGTCACTTGATCGTCCTGCAGATATTGCTTGCGGCTGGCTGCGATCTGACAACACAGGCGGACCAGGGCGAAACACCACTGCACCTGGCAGCTGCCTCTGGGCAGTCGCACGTGGTGGAGGAGCTCCTTCTACGAGACGGAGACCGAGACCGAGATCGGCAAAAGAGTCTTTTGCAGATACAGAACCACTTCGGGCAGCGGCCCTGCGAGGTCGCCGCCGATGCCCAGACACTCCGCTGCTTCCCCAAAGGCGTGGCTGTGGACAGCTACGCCGGTCGGCAGATCCTCGAGTTCGGCGAGGAGGAGGAGGAGGATGGAGAGGAAGAGGCAAAGCCGGCAGAGAAGAGGGAGGCGCGGCCAGCAGTGCTTCTGAGGAGCTCGCGCTGCGATGCGGTGCGACGGCTGCTCACCGCCGCAGACGCCGATGCCAACGCCGCCTCGCCACTGACGGCCCGTCCGGCATCGCGGTCTCTCTCGCAGTCCTTCCTGAGGCTGCAGGAGAGGGAGCCTTCCGAGGCGATCGGGTCCGGTGCCCAGCAAGGACAAGCAAGATTCGACCTGTCAGCTTTCCGTGAGTTAGGCCGGACTCCTTCCGCCTGCTGTCTCTTCTAGGCGGTGATCTCAGACTTGAGACCTTTTCAGACCTTCTGAAGCTCGGAAGTCGCAACTCAGGTAAGGGATCTTTTGGGGAGGTCTTCCGAGTCGAAGACCGACAAACGGGCCAGGCCACGGACACGGACACCTCGAGCACGGTCCTTCTAGCACTTCCCCCATCTCCACGGCTTGGGAGGTCTTTGCGATGAAAGTACTGCGAAAGCGATCGCCTGGCATGTACTTCCGCCAAGCTGTCTCCTCCAAATCCGTCGTCTCCACATGTTGCAGGTAAGATCCTGAACAGAAATCTGATGCGCTATGCGCTGACGGAAAGGAATCTCCTCTCGTACATCAGGCCACCGAGCCGACTCAAGTCCTGCAACATCCTGCAACGCAGTCTGCAACGCAGTCTGCAACGCTGCATGCCTGCCAGGCATCCCTTTATCGTGAGGTGCAAACGCTACATTTTGCATTCACGGATGGGATGAAGCTTGAGCTGGTGGCAGGCTGTATCACGCCTTCCAAACTCCCAGCTGCCTAGTGACCAAGGGTGTGGTGTTGTGGCAATGTGCGTTGTACTTGATGGGTCACCAACTATTCACAAGATAGCCGGCATAACCATGATGTGAGAGCCGACGGCAGATTGCGAGGTACTCGTGCTCCAATATTGTCCCGGTGGCAACTTATCGATGCTGTTGCAACGCGAGGGCGCGCTGCCAGAGGCGCGCGCTGCCGATGTGTTTCCCAAGCCACCCTGAGTGCCTCAATGCAGGGCTGCCGAATTTTGAAACACCCACGGGACCCAAACGGTGCGATCAAACAGCCACTTACATGCTCACGGAAGGCAGCGGCGCAGCTTTACCTGTCTGAGGCGCTCCGGAAACCTTCGGGAGACTGCAACAATGAAGCGAAAACCATTGAAAATCTCCGTGTATGTCTCAGGTGCTACTCGCCTTGGAGCATTTGCACGAGAGGCGAGTTGTCTACCGCGATCTGAAACCCGAAAATGTGGCCGGTCACTCTGACAGTGACGGATCAGCGGCTGCGACTGCTACTTAGCGATGCAGACTCCGTGCGGCCTAAGGTCTTGGACGACGAAGCTCACGCTGTACTTACGGAGCGGGGTTGTCAGTGTCGCAGCACACTTCGGCGACATGTATGCCATTTGACATGCCAACTGTTGAATGCTGAGTTTGTCCGCCACATGCGAGTGGCCTACCTTGCTTGCCGAAAATTTACGCGTGTGGTGAAGGGCTTGGTACTCTCTTTTTATGTTTGCATAGTTTGGGTTTGGGATAGGATGGCTCGTCGGGCTGCTCGAACGTGGGAGGGAAGAGCGGGACAATCCACATCCAATAAAATCATTAGATCGTTTGATGTACCACTCAGCACCCAGCTTCTCAGACTGCACCAGTCCTGTCCTTGACCCCTTGGACTTCGGGCAAGGGCCAAGGACACAGAGAAGCGTGACCCTGGTGTGGTGTCTTTTCTGCGGGGGCGTCCGTGCAGACACAAAAGCACATACACAAGTGTGAACATGCTGCAGCACCACCCATCGTGGCACATTAGCAGAGCAATACAAGAACAACTGCGACTGGAAGATGCTACAAGTAAGGTGTGCGCTGCTACAATACTGCGTTTCAGTCATTAGGGTTGCTGCGAGAAACGAGCTCGAATGGCTAGCAGCGGCTGTGCGTTTGTTCGACTGATGCGAGACTCCTTTGGTGGTGTGGTAGTACACGATCATGCCAAGGGGGCGAGCGTTCAATACATACGGCGTCAGCATTGCGGCACTCCGTGTGCGTAAACAGGCCAAAAGCAGCTTGTAATTTTCTGATCTGACTTCTTCAACATTCTTCAACGAAATCATACCAAAGTGGCCTGGGTTAATTACTTACAGTACTTGCATGCTTGCGTAGTTACTTGCTTGCATATGTACTTGCACTGACACTTACACTTGCACTGTTCTTCGCTTGAACTGTATGGCATGCGGGTTGCGGGTCCACAAAAGAGATGGGATTTTGGAAGCTCGGTATGCGGTATGCGCTCACGATCATGTCTCTGTTGGTTGACAGGACTTTGGTCTCTCAAAAGAGGGCGTCGACAAGTTCGGTGGCACCAAGTCTTTCTGTGGCTCCGTTGCGTGCCTTGGCACAGAGCTTCGAGTCGACTCCGAGCTTGGCGCAGTCGGGTTTCGGCATTCAAAATTGGAGGTACCTTGCCCCCGAAATCTTGACCCGCTCCGGGCACGGGCGGAATGTGGACCTCTACGGCCTGGGTGCCACTCGTCCTCGGAGTAGCCGAGCTGGCCGAGCTCGTAGCTGATGAGATCACCCCAAGCAGCGGCCTTCGCTGCCTCGTCTCAGGTGCTTCTCTTTGAGATGATGGAAGGCCACGGCTTGAGTCATATTCGTCGCTTTATGCCCGGGGATTCTACGTGCTCCAGCATTGAAGGAGCGCGCATGTCTGAAGCGGTCTCTGAAACTGTCCAGCGGCTGCAACTGGCGGCCATGTTTTGCATGGTCGGGCGTGTAACCCTCTCATCCCTCTCGCCTCTTTCAGTTGGGCTTTTCTGGACTGCCCAGCGCTTTCGTATCCGGCTGGGGCTGTCTCATTTCCACGCAGTTCTGGAAGGCCAGCCACCATACTACAGCAGAGACAGGGCACGCGTCTCAGCTTGGACAACTCCGGATCGCCTCCTCCAAAAACTCTCGCCGCATGCAAGGATACATTGTTTCGAAACATCGTGACCGCCCCACTGCAGGCCTTGGCTTCATGACACGTTGTGTGGATACTGCTGAAAATACACTAATGGGGCCGGGGCGAAAAAGCAATCTCAGCAGGATCTTGTGAGCCCGCTGATGCATATTCTACGAGATTGCAGCATTGCTGAAGTCGAGCAACCTGTAGTACGGCATTTCTCGAAGTGTCAACGATGGAGAAAGGCTCCGTCGCGTTGCAGCTCTCGGTGCGCTGACCTCATCAAGGCCCTGATGCAGCGAGACCCGGTTGGAGCCTCAAAAACAAAGGTAGACAGGCTGCGCGCTGCAAGCTAGAACGCGCAGGATTTCTGCTAACAGCTTCGCTATGCTTCGCTGGCAGCGACCTAGGCCAAAAGGATCGGCAAAAGGCAAACATCCGAGGCGAGGATGCACACGGCACTCTTGTTAGCAGAGAAACAACGCGGGCCCTATGGGCGGATTTGTTCCAAGGTTCGCTCACACCCTTTCTTTGCCGGAATTGATTTCGACCAAGTGCTCAAGCGCGAGGCATTTTCTGTTCCGCGTTGAAGTTGCACCACCTGTTTCATGTGTGGAGAAGCTGTGTCGAAGGTTCCCGTGCCACCTCTGCGGCACTGGTCCACATCCTTCTCCATGCTGCGCTCAAACGAAAAGGCCTTTTCTTCCAGACGATCGACACCTGCAGATGGCCAACTGGACATTCTTTGTGAAGGTGGCCAGCCCGTTCGAGGGCAGATTCGGACGAAAGGCCTGAAAGCTGGCCATGTCTCATGCGAAGGGCTCTTACCGACGTTGAGTACATGTACTAGCGGTTACTAGCGGAGAGAGGCTAGGCACCCGGGAAAGCTTGGTTAAATTGAGCTCGAACTCTGCTTCAAGACACAAGATCCTGCCGGCTCCTTAGGAGCAGCCTGCTAAGAAGTTCTTGCGAGTCGAAGACGGCTTGGCACGAACACTGCTCCAAGGCGAAGAGCACTCACAGCCCATAGCTTGAACTGAGTTCTGTAAGTCGGATTCTGCATGATCACGCAGGTGTTCCGGTCATGGTCTTCCTCTGCACAGGCTCGCACTGACAGAAGAGCAGCCTGAGATCGACAGCAGATTCTGCATCAGGACATCCGGGGTTGGGAGTTCTCCTTCGTCGACGATGAGATGTACGATATACCTTCCAGAAGTCTATCGAAAATTGATGTTTCGTCCCAAGCTTTGGCTCTAGGATGTGCGTGACTTCCGTGTGGGACAGCTCAGGTTGAGGAAGCCGGGAAGACCAGGCGATGCCTGCTTTCTCTTAGCCCGCAGTCCGTCCTGCATACATTCAGTTACATTCAAGAAGGAAGCAACGGATGCGACGAAGCGCGACGCTGGGTGATCTGCGGAGAGCCGCTTGTCGCTTTGGGACTGGAGTCTTCGGAAATGTCCGAGCTAGGGTTCCGAGAGCACAGGACCTGGAGCTTCAACATCCGCTGAAACAGACAGACAGACCCAATCCTTCCATACTTGAGCTACCTCCTGCAGCTACCTCCCCCTGTCTCTACATGGTTCTACTTCGACTCACCAGTCTACTACCCCGTTTCTCCCCTGCCCGGTTCAGATGAGGCTGCGAGCACCACGCTCAGAACACTCCTTTCTACGTGAGAGATGGCGCGGAAGTGGCTTTGCACGGTCGGGCAGACAGTGCGCATAGCCACTCACTGCAATCTTGCCATCTTGATCAGAAACGGTGCGTTACGGTGATGTAGCTAGCCGCAAGCACTTACATCTAGGTCTACAGTTGTTCAGGTCTCAAGAAGCGAGAGGAAGGGCAGCACTTGCTTTTGCAACCTGTCCTGGCGATTGCCGTTTGAAGCGACGCATCAAACTTGTGCGTGCTCGAGACGAATTTAAATTTGTGGGCCGTCTGGGCTGTCTGCGATAATCAAGACTGAGCGGAAGTGCTCCTAATCCAAGCAGAGTTCATGTGGCTCGGTGCTTCCGGGATCTTGTGGCTTGTGGGTGCACCTTCTGTGCAGGTGTGAATGTGAACGGTGTCGATTAGCTTACTCTGAGGCACCGTCCACATTGCATCGTGTAGGGCTGAATTCACCTGGCCGAAATCTTCCTGGCCCCGTTGCTTCTGGACGAATCATGCTCTTCTGGTTGGAAGTTACAGGCAGCTCAAGATCAAGAGCTTTTCGCTTCATCGTCTGGAAACAGCTCGTTTGTGCCTTTTCCAAGCTTGGTGGAGCTGTGCATTACAGGAACCACCTGCAATGCTGACAGAGCAATGCAGATTATGTGTGACAACCCCTCGGGCGTCATGGAATATGCCTGCTGCGCATCGGGTCGTTCGAAATTCCAATAGAACTGACGTCGAATCCTACTAGCCTTGCACAGGCCTTGCATCCTACCATCCTTTGCCAGTGCGTGAAGAAGCTGCCAGTTTGTCGTGTTTATAGCTGTCTCGGCATGTGCAGGACAGTGATGCTATTCGGCCACAGCTCATCGCGGTCTTGGCCACGCCCGATGCCTTCGAAGAGAGTGGCGATGAGGCTGGGGAATCTTTTTCTGCGGGTACAAGGTGCAACCAGTTCTCCAGCGAGACCATCCGCTTCTCTCTCGGCGAGGCGCAGCCCCTCCCTGATGACCCCCGAACGACATGCAGCTGCGACATCATCTGCTGTTTCCGAAACGCCAGAACATGTCGCACGACTCCTGGTCCTCTGGTCTCTGGTCCATTCTGGTCCCCTGCGGGCCACAGGCTGCGGCCCATGAAAAGTTGGGGCGGGTTTAGCAAATGAGATCTATGATGAATCGGAATCGCCAAATGAGGGGGCGCGTTTAAGACATATGATGAGGGGCGTGTTTAAGAAATGTGATGAACCTCGGTTGCCACACGAGGGGGCACATGTTAGGATATATGATGAACCTGAAACGCCAATATATATATATATCTGTGCGTGTGTGTGTGTGTGTGTGTGTGTTTAAGATACATGATGAACCGGAATCGCAACATTAGGGGGCGTGCTTAAGATATATTATGATGAGCCGGAATCGCCGCATGAAAGGGCGTGTTCAAGAAGTATGATGAACCGGAATCGCCAATGAGGGGCATGGTTAAGACGTACGCTGAACTGGAATTGATAAATGATTTGGCCTGTTTAAGATTTTTTGCTCAACAACAATAGCAACAACATCACAATCTACGTGGAGTGTCTGTTTAGTAGCATGTGTGTGTGTGTGCACGGAATGCAAAGTACCTCCCCAGGCATGCATCATGACACCGTCGACAATCCTTCACAAATAACAATCCCCCTGTCAGTGTTTTGCGCTGCTTTGTCAGCCCCCGCCCAGCTTGTTTAAACCGCCGTGCAAGTCCGCTTCAAAATGACATCCTGCCAGCAACAACAGCGCGCATATGGACCCGACTCCCCTGACAGAGACATTGTGGTTGCAAATTAGGGGGGGCTGCGCTCTTGCTCAGCCCTGCCGCAGCCGCGGGTCTGTGCAAAGCGGGGGGCGGGTTTAGCAGTTTAGCGAAAGTGAAAAATCGGAATTGGAATTGGCAAATGAGGGTGCGTGTTCAAGATATGTGATGAGGGGGCGTGTTTAAGAATATGGTGAGGCGGGTCTGACCCAATTAGGGGGTGTTTTAAGGTTTATGATGAGCCAGAATCGCGACATGAGGAGCGTGCTTAAGATATATTATGACGAACGGGAAGTGCCATGGGAGGGGTGTTGAAGATATATGACAACAACAACGACAACGACAACACGGACCTCAACGACAACACCACCACCACGACGACCGCCACCACCAACACGAACAACAGCAACAACAACAACAACAAGAACAAGAACAAGAGCAAGAACAGCAGCAACTCGCCCAAGGGGGAGGGGAGGCGTGTTTAAGATGTTTAAGGTACATGATGAACCGGAATCGCCTCATGAGGAGCATGTTTAAGATATATTACGATGAACCGGAAGCGTGATTGGAGGGGGCGTGTTGAAGATATATGATGAGCTGGAATCGCCACATGAAAAGGCGTGTTTAAGATGCATGATGACATGAGGGGCGTGTTTAAGATACATTATGACTTGTAACCCTGTTAGCTTGGGGCAAAACAACACCCTGCAAGGTGGAACTCCCAATAGCTTGACACAACACAAAAACATGCAAGTTGTAGTTCAATAGGTTGACGCAAAGCAGCACCCTGCACATTGTAGTTCCCAATAGCTTGATACAAAGCAAAACCCTGCCAGCGACATGCGAACTGGAGTGATCTCACGAAGAGAAAACGGATCCAGCTGGTGTGGAGACTCTCGGCGAGTGTAGCCTGGAAGCCTGGTGGGAAAGTCGAAGCTAACGCAACATAAGGCTCGCCGGCTGAAATTTCGTGTCTGCCGAAGGAAGCTTGAATGCACGTCATGCCTGCAGGCCGTAAAATGCTCGCAATAATAAGAGTGTCCGAGGCTGCAACCCCCAAAATTGCAGCTTCAGATTCGAAGGCTCTGTCGGACCAGCAGCTAGCCGCCTAGCCTTGCTGCAGAGGTTCAAGTGAGTCAGCGAAAGCTGCTTTGTGCAGCGCTGGCGGAGGCGGCTCAGCTGCACCGGACTTGCTTTGCGCTTCAATCCTCACTTGCTTTTGCGAAGTTCTGTGGCACAGGCGCCGGACTCGCGTTTGATGGCTTTGGGCGCTGCAGCTGCAGAAGACTCTTCGGCCCCTTGGCATGGCTGCTTAAGATTTTAGGAGAACGTACGTGTTTTTGCCCTTTTGCCAGCCCAGGCCACTGTGGCAGGAAGTGCGGTGAGAGCTGCATCACGCTCTCGGAGCCGGGCTATGTCTCCGGCTAAGGCCAGGGCATGCCAGGGCCACTTGCGATTCAACAACAGCGGCTTCGTACGTAACTTTCCGCATTGCCGCAGCCTTCGTCGCCCGGTCCGTCACCGACGGAAGCACGGACGGTGGGCAGCGCTCCACAGGTGCGGATCCCGGCCCTTTGGAAGGGGGCATCCACGTTTTGCAACCTGCAGCATGTTTAGCTATTGAAACCTTCCCTGAAAAGAAAAGGGGCAACTCCGAAAGATGCAGGCATCTGCAGTTGCATGCACCGGTGCATGGTTGGTAATCGCTTCCCCGTAGTATTAAACCACCCCCCCTCCCTAATATAAAAACTCAAATCCGGCGGATTTAGTTTTTATTATTAGGGAGGCTTCTGGCGCATACGGGTTTGACTGGGATTACTGTAGTCAATCAGACAGTCAGACACAACGGCCGATTCCTACGCAGCCGTTCCGGCTGTAGAGCCCCAAAGCCTGGAGCCCCAAGCTTTAAACCCTAAAGCCTTAAACCCTAAGCCCTGAGCTCTAAGCCCCTAAACCCTACAGCCTCGGTCCTTTCGGTTTAGTACTACTGTAGTTTAAAACTCATACAATCCCTAGGCCCCCCTAAATTAACGCAACCGCAAAATCCCGGGGGCCGGCAGTTTTTATATTAGGGGGTGGTTTACTAAACGTGGGAAGTGACTAAGAGGTCTGCCTAGAGATGTTGCTTTCTTGCTGAAGACTAGCATGTTCATTGCACGAGCCTCGTAATGAAGCCTGTGTACATGTAGTAGGTGTTGCAGATTGTTTGCATGGACACAAGCTCTCGTTCGTCAGTCGTTGTAGTGGAGACTGGCCTAAGTTTACAAAACTAGAGCTAAGGGAGTAGGGACGCTGGGGGTGATGATGGGAGTGGGTGGGCCTGGAGCATAGGCGAGGGGGAAGCAGGAGGGCAGTGGGATGCAAATGAGGCGCAGGGTGTGCACAGGGTGCCTTTGATAGCGACGTAGACGGTGTAGTCGTTGGTAGGCCCGGTAGGCAAGAACAAACACACTAATCGAAGGAATAAGCAAGGTGGGGGGCCAGCGCAAGGGGGGGTTGCCAATGCTTTCCCAATTCATTGATGTTCAGCTAAAGATTACACGGCAAAAGAGATCGTAGCTGTAACGTTGGAACGCAGGTCCTTATTTGGAAGTTAGTCGAATCCCAGTTATAAAGATTCGAACAAGATAGTCGGGTTTCGGAGCTGTGGTAGCTTCACTGACAATGACGGCTAAGAAACAGGGATCCAACCTTATCGGACCATAGGGCCATAGGATTGAGGGTCTATTGTGGATTTTCGGGTTTAGGCCTGAGCATTTCCAGCAAGGTCGGAAGCTGCAGGAGTAGGGACGCTGGGAAGGCGAGGGTGGGGTAGGGGGTGGGGAGGGGCTGCAGGAGAAGGCGGACACACATTGTAAATTAGGAAATCAGGACAGCCGAAGGCAAGGGGGGCAGGAAGGCTGCGGAAGCCGAGTGGAGGAGTGGGCAGTGGGATGTTAAAACAGATGTGGGCGTGGGGGGTGCGGTCCGCGGTGCGGCGGGCAGGGCAGAAAAGGGAAGCCGACGGAAGGGGGGAGGGGAGGGAGGGAAGGGGGCAGGGAGTGAGGGAGGGAGGGGGAGGGGAAGGGAAGGGCGGACGCCGACAGCGGGGGTCGGCGGACAACAATATTCAGAATCATCACTATAAGAAAGAAATCAGATTGAGAAGAAGAAAAGCAATAATTGAACGCAACAATTAGATGGTCTTTTTCGGAGGGCGCCCATGCAATGATAAAGCTCTCCTGTTGTGTTTCAGGCGCTGAGCCGACACCATAGCCGCTCCAACTTAGGGAAACCACCCATGGATGCCTTGGCTGCAGAGAGGTCTGTGAGAGGCGTCTTTCTAGAGGCAGCTCTGCAGTGTTCTGAGGATCCCAGTGGTCCCGGTGGCGGGACACGGAGATGCGACTCGCAGAAGCGTGGTGAGAGATCCCCATCTTTCAGAGAGGTCCTTCAGCCTCTCGGCCCCATTGGTACCCGCTTGGACGGCGGCCAACAGAAGATGTGGGCGCCCTTTTCACGGTAGACCTCAAGAAGCCATCGCAACAGCTTCTGACGCTTCACTTACCATCAGCTTTAGCTGCGTGCTTCGCTGAACCGCTTCATGTGAGGCACGTTTGAGTCACCGTGAATGCAATGCATGGAATGTGCAGCTCAAAGCCGGGCTGTCCGCTGTTTCCGGCATCGAATCAATGAGTCTAGCGAAAGTGCGCGCAGAGCGAGCATAAGGCTTCACCAGCTTGCTGAAGAGTTTTGACTGGGACTGGGACTCGGGGATGGTGAGATGCACTTGTCGACATTCATAGCATCGAGTCTTCTTGCAGGCGTCGAACTGCGGAACATGTGCTTGGCAAGCTGCCTTAATCACTGAACCAACTTGTCACGCTAGATGCAGACGCGAGTGACTCTTGCACACACGCATTGCATCGCCAAAGTCGTTGCATCGTTTGAACTGGGATTACCAGTAAAGTGCAGGCTGTGTGGTAGAGAAACATGTGCCCGCTCCGCAAGATGCCGTCCCTGCGCTGGCGATGTTTAGCCTCATCAGGCAATCTTCGCAGCTCATCACGAGCTTTTGTGGCTCCTGTCGCAACCACTTGGAATGTGATGGCTTCGGAACCTGATTACAAAGCTCTGGCAGCAGAGAGCATATTGCAGCATGGTTTTGTTCTGTTGCATGATCTGTTTCTTCCCGATGAACTCTGTCGGCTTACCACACCAGCGACTTCCAACACTGAAAGAGTGCTGTCAATGCTCCGTGCAAAGGGCGTAGACCTGCCAGTGGGCAGTCGAGCAGGTTTCCATGAGGCCGGGCAAGCACTTGAATCGTATCAATACCGTAGTTAGTAACAGTTTGTATTGAGGTCGCCGGACCTGCAGCAGACAGACTTCAAGTAGGCAAAGGTTGTAAGAAGCAGACTTCTTGAACAATTAGAGTTACAGTTGCACTGGGCTTCTCTTGGCTTGGTCACCTGTCCTGAAGCTTCTCTAAGCATGGAAGGTCGTGCTCCGGTCTCCCGGCCGATACGATGTTCCCTGCGACTTCGAAGTATTCCCGAAAGAACTGCTGGAGAAATTCGAGTGTATTGCCAACGAGCTCCTCGCCGAGACCGAGATATCCGAGACCCAGCGGCGAAGCCGAAAGGTCTTCGCAGGCACAGTGCGTGCGTTACCTGGCTCCGAGCGCCAGATCTGGCACGCCGACTCGCCGCATGTGTCGTCCGAACATAAAGGCCCCCACCTGCTGAATGTTCTTGTGGCCACACGGAATCTTTCAAAGAAGATGGGTCCCACGGAGCTTGTGCCGGGATCGCACGTCCTCACCAACCACTTGCATCCAAAAGCTCAGTTCTCCACGGAGCTCCTCTACCAGCGCGTCGGCAACTGCCCAGACAAAATCGGAGCCAAGCAGCTTCCAGTCGCCGCTGAGATGGATGCGGGGAGTGTCTTGATCTTCGATGACCGAATCTTACACCGAGGAGGTGAGAACGTTTCGGTCGAGAACCGCGACGTCGTCTTCTTCTCCTATGCTCGTTTGGATTTCGATCCTGAGACCCATTACGAAGCCGTCCGCTCTCTAAACTCCTATGACCATTATAAGCTGAGCGAAACCGTGAGGAAAGAGTTTCCGGGTCTTCGCAGTGGTCTGAGGGATGCACCGGTCCTGGCAGACGGGGCAAGTGGCTCACAGCTCCATGAATCCGCCATCCAGGCTGTGCAGGATCAATTGACATATGGCATAGCCAACATTGGTGGTGCTTACGAGTCCAGTTCCCGGGCCGAGGCGGCCGTCTCCACAGCGCGCTTGGCGGCGTCCGACTTCCTGGGATGTGATGCGCAGGAGGTCGTGTTTGGCGCCAGCATGACTGCCTTGGTCCTTCACCTGGCCCGAGCCTTGGGGCCAGCCCTCCACGCCTCGGCCGCCACGCCTCGCAATGTCGTGCTGGATCCCATGAGCCACGGTGCCAATGTGTGGCCCTGGCTGAAGCTTGCTGCTGGGCTTGGAGCCGAGGTGCGCTGGTTACCTGTCTTAAAAGACTGCCTTTGTCTGGATACCAGCGACCAAGCACTCGGTACCGTAATCGACAGAAACACATGCTTTGTGGCCGCGGGAGCCGCCTCCAATGGTGTTGGGTCGATTCACGACGTCCAGCAGCTCTGCCAAGCTGCGAAAGAGCTCTCAGAGGAAAGGGCCTTGACTTTTGTGGATGCCTCCTGGCCAGATATTGGTACAGGGTGTGCTGCAACGCCCTTTGTTTGGGCGTCGCTGGTATGAGCAGAGGCTGTGCACTTTGCTCCTCACAGTCACGTCAACGTGCATCGCATCGGCCCGCTTCCCAATCTGAATGCAAACACTGCCATGTGCTGTAGAAGCACGAAGTAGTCTTATTCAGCTGCTCCATTCTATTCAGGCTGCGATTTCTTGGTTTGCTCTCCGTACAAGTTCTTCGGCCCGCACGCAGGCCAGGCCAGGCCGTGGGCCGTGAGCATGGGCAGTCGGCGCCCGCACGCCTAGGCATCCTCTTCGGACGGCGCCGACTCTTGGAGTCTTTGCCAGCAGATCGCTTGGCCGCTCGGCCCCACGGCAACAGCACAGCGGCCCTTCGCCCTTTCACGTCCTGCCAGGACTGCTCCGATGACTCCTTGCCGAGCATGGCCAACGGCCACATGTCTCGCTGGGAAGTCGGCACCCAGAACTACGAGGCCCTCTAAAGTCAAAGTGTACTATAAGCACGTTGCTGGTTTTGGAATCTTTTTGACAGGCACTGGCAGGCGTCACTGCTGTCCCAGCCTCGGCAGATGCTTCGACGGCACCAGAAGAGCTGACTGTCTGAGCGCCACGAGGCCGTGAACTACCTGGCCGATTTGGGCCACCGCTTCGGAGGAGCTTCTCCAAGCGCGCCACGCCCAGAGCGCCTGGAAGCAGGCCGGACTGCAAAAGGGATCAAGAAAATCAAGAGTTCCAAAAGCGAACCGCGCTGCGGAGGTTGGCATGCCATCGAGGCTCACGAGAATGATCTGAAGCGGCGCTTCTTGGTCCCAGCCTCATCTCGAAGTGGAGATGATTCCAAGATCCCGTCACAAGCACATATCAGTACTCCCCCTCTGTCAAGGAAGGCTTGCAGAGCATCCGGACAGTCCACCTGCTGGGCACTTGGCCATCACATGCCCTTGACAATCTGCATCGTAGTAGCAGGAGTGAAATGCACGTGCGGTGGCAGTCTTATTTGGTGCTGTATCTGTGCTCGTGGAGAGCATTCCAGGTTGGGGGAAGAGGATCCGACCCAAATCGCGCATCGCACTGCCACCTTCGCCGTGTGCAAGGAAAGCCTCGCACCACAGGAGAACACACAGAGACCAGCGGTTCCACGATGTTCCACACCTCCACGCCTGGGCATTCACAGGAGCTTGCCAAGAGGCTCTGCAGCAGGTGCCAGCGATAGTCCAGGGCCGATGGTCAGAAACCCTGTGCCTTCCGTTCGACCGACAGGGGCATCTGGTGCACTGCTGGCAACCACTATGCTGGGTTTTGGGAAGCACACAGCGGCGGCCTTGCGACCAACGAGGAGGGAATGGCTCGTGCCAGTCTCGGACCCTGAACTTCCAAACCACTGCGCATTTTTGCAGCGTGGCGCTGAAGGCTTGGGCTTGTTGCACTACAACTCCGTCGGCGAGGCCTCGTGAAAGACCGCCCCGTGCTGGTTGTTGAGCCGCGACATGCCGTTCCGAGGTGGATCGTATCCTCGCGGCTCTTGAGGACGCATGAGATATCTGATCTTAAGTCGCTAGAGCAACGCCTTCATCATCATGAAGCGCAGCAGGCCAGGTTCGGACAGCACTCCTGCAAGGTCAAAACATCCAACAGTGTGAGACAACACGACGGCATCTAATTACACCGAGTGAGCCGCCTTGCAAGATTGCTTGGTATTTTGCCAGGCCATCCTTTCCCTTCAGGGACGTGGTGGCGCTGCGGGAGGCAGAGCAGTCAGAGGTTACAGCGCCAAGCGGCCGTGGGCTGTTCGAGAAGGAGCGCGATCGGATAGCAGCAGCGAGCCGTGCATTGAGCAACTGATAGCAAATCAAGGTGGTCTGTTTGTGTGTGTGTGTGTTTTGTGTGTGTGTGTGTGAATGTGTGGGTGTGTGTGTGTGCGTGCGGGTGTGTGGGTGTGTGTGTGTGTG